GTCTGACTGCAGTGCACCAGGAGATGGAGACCAAAGGGGTCTCCTGCAGGGGATGAGGCCTCTCCTTCTGCCTCCTGCCCCTTCAGCTCATACATTCTAAAAGGTGACTTGACTTTCCCCACCAGACCACCTCTTCATCCCTGTAATGTAACCCTGGAGCAGAGAACGCCCAGCACCCACCAGCGCTTCAGGGCTTCCTGGAACTGGCCTGTGTCAGATTTCAGTTGCTCTGTTTGCAACGGCAACAACCCCGTCTTTCTCAGTGCTCTGGAACCTGGCTTCCAGCTCACAACACCACGTCCGATGCTCCTCCCCCATGCTCATCAGCTGCCAGGCACACAAGCTACTCCTCATCTACAACAGAGATTGGCAAGCGAGGGCCTGCTGGCCAAATCCATCCAGCCCATCACGGCCTTTTATTGTCCAGCACACAGGCTAAGAATGTTTTTTATGTTTCTAAAATGTTGTGAAAAGCTACAACAAAAAGACAATATGCAGCAGAGACTCTGACCCACGAAGGCTAAGAGATGGTCTATGGTACATTACGGAAAAGTAGGCTGACCCTGACCCAGAAAAAGATGCTCCCCAGCCCATTTTCCAGTTCCCACGCTGCAGTTCCACAACCTTAACTGGTGACAAGCTCTCCCACAGCCTGCTGCACCTACCACTGGCGTCTTCCCTCTTCCTGACAAAACGCAAATTAAAAGCCACTATATATTGAAGCCAGACATGGTGGTTCACACCTGTAATCCCAGCACTTTGGGAGGCCAAGGCAGGCAGATTTCTTGAGGCCAGGAGTTTGAGACCAGCCTGGCCAACATGGCAAAACCCCATCTCTACTAAAAATACCAAAATTAGCTAGGCTTGGTGGCGTACACCTATAATCCCAGCTACTTGAGAGCCTGAGGCATGGAATCACTTGAACCTGGGAGACGGAGGTTGCAGTGAGCCTAGATCGCACCATAGCACTCCAGCCTGGGTGACTGGTGAAACTCTGTCTCAAAACAAAACAAAACAAACCACGCTGGTCAGACACAGTGGCTCACGCCCTGATCCCAGCGCTTTGGGAGGCCAAGGTGGGTGGATCATGAGGTCAGGAGTTTGAGACCAGCCTGGCCAACATGTTGAAACCCCATCTCTACTAAAGATACAAAAAATCAGCCAGGCATGGTGGCACACACCTGTAATCCCAGCTACTCGGGAGGCTGAGGCAGGAGAATCTCTTGAACCCAGGAGGCGGAGGTTGCAGTGAGCCAAGATCACGCCATTCCACTCTAGCCTGGCCAACAGAATGAAACTGTTTCAAAAAAAAAAGAAAAAGAAAAAAGCTTCCTGAGGAAAAACAGGGGTCCCTTTGACGGACTAGTTTAGTGCTAAGGACATTGAACAGGGTTTGAACAGTTCTTATTCCCAATACATACAATTTTGTTCTTGGCTCTTTCTCTGTCCAGTTTCAGAAATTCACCGAGCGTTAATTCTTCAAACTGCTTCTTGACAGAAAGGAAAGCGCAACCAGATGAATGCTTTTTATGTTCCTCTCTAGAAAAATCAGAACAGCGGAAAGGCAGCTGAAGGAATGAAAGCGGCAGTCCATTCCTCATGGGTCACCTTCCCGCCCTCCACTGGCACACCCTGCTCTGCCTCAGGAGCAAAACATCAAGTCTGAAGTTGATGGAATCAGTGCTGTGTCCAAGCCACATTCCCGTACGGCCCCTCTTAGCACCTTCTCCCTCACTGTGGACCTCTCTCCCTACGTCCATGTGGCTAACATATCCATTTTACCTGGACTTCTTTAGCAATTAGGTGTGAAAGTGTTACACAGTGTAAGTCCGAAGGAATCACGTGTCAAATCCCTCTAACATTCTCAAGGAACTGTTTGAAGTAATTTCATTTCACTGGAATTCTTATGAAATCCACTGTAAGGATTAAGAGCAGATAAGGGCATTATCCACCAGGGTTCCCCAAGGGACCCTCTAGCTCAGATTCTCATTTGCTGCTAGTCTCCCTGCATAACTGATTATTGCCATTACCAGAGCAGTATTACAATGAAAATACGGCTACACAAAGTACAATAGGACAGCCAGTAGTTAGCTCCAATCTGAAAACGTGGTAACACATTCATTTTCAAGAATACCACTGATATTTTCCCAGTGATCACGGGGATGCTGTATAACCACCACAGCGAACATAATAAGAAAAAAAACAGCTACACTCTTCTGATCAGGAAGAAAAACAACTGGGGTGATTCTCAAGGGGAAAAAATTAAAGTTGTGGAAGCAACTGATTCTGACAGAAAAAAAAAAGCTGAGAAAAGAATATGGCATTACAGTGTAGAAAACAAATATCACCCAAGTACAGAACTTCATTTTAATTAGGCATCTTGAAGAACAAAATCCAAAACAATACTAAAGTGTACACTTTCTTTTTTTTTTTTTTTTTAATGTTTAAGATAGAGTCTCGATCTGTCACCCAGACTGGAGTGCAGTGGTGTTATTCTGGCTCACTGCAACCTCCACCTCCCGGGTTTAAGCAATTCTCCTGCCTCAGCCTCCAGAGTAGCTAGAATTACAGGTGCATGCTACCATGCCCGGCTATTTTTTGTATTTTTAGTAGAGATAGAGTTTCACCATGTTGGCCAGGCTGGTCTCAAACTCCTGATCTCAGGTGATCCGCTGGCCTCAGCCTCCCAAGGTGTGAAAAACTACCCTTTCAAAGGGTAATTTTTGTGTTCTGTGGGTTATATTTCAATTAAACTGTTTTTTAAAAAAAGTCTCAAGGAAAGTGCCTGGACATTCCTGGGAGCTCACAGCAGCAGGGTCTGCTAATGTATTCTGTTGAACCTGAAAGGCATCAGGCATCTTAAGTGAATGAGACTTTCACATCCACCCTAAGGGCATTTTGGTCAAAAGAGACTTAATTAGGCTGTAAGCATCACCAAGGCACCAGCATTTAGAGAGTTATCTGTTCACAGTAGCTGTTTAAGAAACAACGAGGCTGGAAAGCAACCCTCCCACTGTTAAGCGTCTTCACAATTCAAATCTGACAGCTAAAGCCCATCGAGACTGGCCAGAGGAGACTTACATGGGATCGTCATCTGGCTCCCAGCCTTCCAGCTCCTTGAAGCAGAAGAAACACTGGGCCAAGTCCGGCTCGTTCTCAGTCGGGCAGTGGATGAAGCCCGCTTCGGCCATC